AGGAAGGAAGGAAGGAAGGAAAAAGGGAAGGAAAAAAGGAAGGATGTAATCATTTCATTTTATTGTAAAGTGCTACTGCAGCTGACATACTATGTCTTTGAAATACTATGTCTTAAGAAACACTATTTCACAAACATTTATCCGTTAAGAGTTGTCATACTTCATGCATTTGTGACACAAAAAAGGTCACTGAACAAATGAAGTATTTGTTTGAAGTACATAATTGAAGGATAACATTTTGTCGGATGTAATATCTCCATAATGGTCTTTGCCAAAAAAAGGAGTAAAATTAACAGATGGCACTTATAATTAGCTCTCTGTGCATTTAAAATTTTACACCACCATATTTTAAGATAACTTAGCTGTTTCAGTGACATCACTGAAATAAGCCCCATTCTAAATATTATATTAAAATGAAGATTTTATTATATGATTAAGACGCTTCCTTTAGGATTCAGTGTCAAATACTTGATACTTTCCAGGTATATCAATCTTATTAAGACCCTTGATGAAATGCCAAGAAAATTCTTCATCTACACTGAAGCTCTGTCCTATCAAATATTTAAATTATCAACAAATATGTAAATTATCAACATATTTATTTTCTCAGGAAATGTGGTTTTTTAAAAATCTTTTTTCAAATAACTGTAACTATTGAAACTTTTTTCAATATATCTGAAACTTCGGAATCATTCTAATTGTGTCATTTTATTGTATTTTTTAAATTGAGTTTTCTTTCTAATATGAAATATAATAACTTTACCATAGTTACCATAAAGTAGTGTTTCATTATTATTTTTATGGTCAAGCTAAGTAGAAACTGATTCTCAAAGCAAAATATTTCTGCAGCTTTAATATTTATCAACATTTATATAATTAATTTAATCACTATCTCTAAAAACCTTACTGCCTGTTCCATCAATATGGTTTCTTGTAAAAAGCAGTTATAAAAGGGTGGGGAAGCAAAGTACATGCAAAAACAGTTGGATATTTCAACAATAAAATCATTTGATTGAAACAATAGTTAATTGTCTTTTTATTCTATGTTTATTTTTATACTAAGAACAGCATACACACACTGTCATTGTTATTTTAACAGTGAATTTATTAATTTTTGCATTTTTATTTTTCTATTTCCAGCAGCCATTTTCCATCAGATTATAGCAAATCGGAAACCATAATTAACTCTTCCAAGAGTTAGGCTCCACCAGATTCTGCCTTTTTTCCAGCTGTCATGAAACAGCTAATCTACGAGGGTACAGTAAAGAGAGAAGAACTAAAGCCCCTCTATCAGGTCAGGAAAAAGATTAAGAATTTTCTTTTCCTCTATTCTTTCTAGCTAGTCTTCATAGCAATCAAACATGATTGGTTTAAAACCATGCTCACCATCTTTTGCACATTATATTAAGTTATATATGTCTGACATGAGAAAAAATTCTGGTTTAAATCTACTGCAAATATTGTTTTAATTCTAAACAGAAACACAGAGGACCAATTGTTCAAATCTGTCTCAAAATTCTCTATACTTGAATAGACCATGAAAGTGAAATGCTAACTGCAAAGGGACATGCTGAACCTGACTGAAGTTCATATAATTTAATATATCCATCATATTAAAGCATATGCCAACACCAAAAGCAATGCTTTTGTCATGTTGGAAAAGTATTTATGAAACCTTTTTGCAATTCTCTTTGTAGCCTTATTCAATAGAAAAGACATTTCCTTATACTTTTGTCAGGATTTTTCCTCCTCTAAGGGAAATCCTGTCCTTTGTAATGTTTGGGTGGAAGGGTGTAACTGTTACACACCAAATAATCAACATCCACTCTTCTCCAAGTGTTGTTTGACGTACCCATTTCAAACCAAGATTGCCTCAGAACTCATCCAGTTTCAGTAGTGTTAAATCATGTACCATTGTTCCAAAGAGAATGAGAGATACATACTGCAATTATTTTGCGAAGAAAAAAACCACAATTCAAATAAAACATTTCCCATAGAGAGAGAAAATTGCCATAACAAACTCTTTCTTAAATGCTTGGAGGTTTGTCTGCCAAAAATGCTTCAGCTAAAGATCCATCGCCGTATTCAGGTGCTGAGATGATCATATTGGCTAAAGCTTGCATATCAAGTGTCAGCCCCTTTGAGGCATGCCAGGTCAAGAAACAGGCACCAAAAACACATACCAAAAAAATCCACTTTATTGATACAAGCCATAACAACAAAATCTTTAAAGCTCCTTCCCTCTCTCTTAAATCAAAGAAAATCAAGGTGGAACAATCTGAGTTTCTTTCTCACATCTTTCCATTTTCTCGTTGAAGTCCTCCCAACAGTTATTGATTATTTTATTCAAGTCCATTTCTGTAATCCTCTACATCAGGCCTGTCAAACTGGCGGCCTGCGAGCCAGATATGGCCTGTGCAGATTACACCCACCCCAGTTCCGCAAAGGCAAAAAACATCACAATTATGTCATGATCTGGTCCACGACGTAATTGAGTTTGACACCTCTGCTCTACATCAACAGAAGATCTTAAACATTTGTCCCCCTATAAAGCCCTTCTGCTTACATTTTTCTCTTTTTTCCCCACTCAGTCCAAATGTTTTACCATCTTTTAGTTTGATAAAAGCCCATTTCCTTAGTGATCTATTTCCAGACCTAAGCAGGCTTAATCATGGCCTGAATTCTCACATTTCTAGTCAGTCTTAGGAAAATGTAGGTAACCATTACCTTTATGAATCATATTATTCTGTTAAAAACTATTTGAATAATTTGATTCTTTATATTTGTGTCAATCTTTGTTTTCAAAAGCCAATTTTTCTTTAAAAGAAACTTGTGAGTATAGTTATTGGTAAAATAGCCAAAATCAAGGATTTCTTAAAACACATTCAAAGAGTATATCTAGCTAAAGGGTCAGTACAGAAGAACATTTTTCATTTACACATTTTTATATGTAGATCAAATGAGAATTTGGCATTATGTTTCCAGTATAATACATTACTCAAACAGTTCTGAAAATTTGTGTGTACGTGGCTAGATGGCAATGAGACATGGACCACTGCTAATTGCCAGATCGGAATGGCAACAGCTTCTAATATCAGTTTTTATGCAATATTGTCATTTTCTCTGCAACAGGCATGCCTCCCATATCATATGTACCATATGTTATCTGTTGTTTTCTAGCATCAGCATAGCATTACTACAGTTAAGAAAAAATGGGTGATCATTTAATGAACTAAATTAAAAAGCAAGAAAGAAATACAACATAAGTTGAACTTGCTCCTAAATAAATATTTTTTTAAAAAATTATAACTAGTTTTAAAAGAGGGTCCCTGCACAAGGGATTAAAAGGGAGAGCCATTTATAATGCAGCCACTAATAATATAGATAAGGCAGGATGCAAGAAAAAGAAATGCCAAACACCAAACTTAGATACTAGTGGGAGGAGGAGAAAACCCCATTCAAAGTGACTTTCAGCAAAAACACATCTGCAATGTTATAATTGTAGAGTTAAATGGGGAGGGGGGGTCATCGGGATTTTAAAATTTGATTCTTTGTGAAAAAACAAAACAAAAAGAATGACTAGATATAGGTCTGCTAACTGACATCAAACTTGAAGGCCGGAGAAAAGTGACAAATCAACTGGGGAAACTGGTGATGAGGCCAGTAAGATTGCTACTCACCAACTTCAAACTGAAACACTAATTAGAGGCAATATGCAACCAAGACAGAAAAATTAGAGAAATGTACTTGACAAACATTCTAATTAAAGGTTAGTATATTTCTGATAAAGTTGGAAAGAACAAATCTTCTCAAATTGTCTAAACAACATTTAAATAATCTTTCTTTCCAACTATAGTGGTTTCTCCATCTGGAAAGGCTTTCGCTTCCATTGTTCCTCAGTGATCACAATGAAATAGTGAAAAAGACATTAAGCTGAAAATAGCAAATAAAACAACAAACGCTTGCCATTGCAAAAGAAATACCAGTAAGCATCAGAGTTCGTCTTTCTGACACTCTTCTTTCTCAATACAGGCAAACATATTATAAAATCCAATAACAATCTACAGTAAACCATTGCTTACAGGCAGTCCTCATTTTACAACCTTTCACTCAGTGACCATTCAAGTTACCTCAGTGCTGAACAAATGGTGATTATAACCGATTCTTTGAGTTCCGGCCATCCCAGCACTTCCATGGTCATCACAATCTGGATGCTTGGCAATTGGCTTCCAATTTCAATTAGTTGCAATGCCCCATGATCACATAATTATCATTTGTGACCTTCCCTGCTGGCTTCCCCAGAAAGTTAATGGTAGGAAAATTTGCAAGTCGCTGGAGTAGGTGTCCCCCATTCATGCCCTCTCCTCCAGTCCCTCTGAGCTTGTACTACACCAACCACTCACATATCTTACAATTTCCTGCCATGATTGCCATTGACTTTGATTGTGGAAAGCTGGAAGGAAATTGCCACACCTAATCACCATGGAATTCAGTTAACAACGGGAATTGGAACTCATTGGGAGTCATTTACAACATCATTGCATAACAATGAAAATTTCAGTCCTGATTGTTTCCATAAGTTGAGAACTACCTGTACCATTCCAATCAACTATGAACTTGCACTTAACAGAAACAGAACTGTTAGAACAACCCCTTCACTAGCAAAGCAAGAAAGGAAGTTAACTGAACATTGTCACCATACATTCCTACAGCACACCGTTCAGAACATTTAACTGAGAGGAGGGGCTCCAAGTAAAATCAAACTTGAAAAATATTTTTGATAATAAAAGTTATTGTGAACAGAGGTCTAGCAACTTAGCTGTGTGTTTAAATGTCTCAACTTAATGCAACAAGGTATTTAGGACATGTTTCTAAAGTCATGGTAACCTCCTTCCAAGGTTATTGGCAGAACAGAAACTATCTACTTTATAGTGTTTCAATAAATGAGAGAACACATGATTGACATAAACATCCCATGTGGACTAAAACAGAAATACTTAGTCATTACTTTTATCTACTACCAAGATTTAAAAATTAACTAAAAATATTATTTTTGAACAGATTTCTATCATAAATATATATTTAGAAGAGGAAATCTACCTCGGACAAACTATTTTCTTAACAGTTGGGTTTGAAGGAATTGAACGAACAAACTGAAATACAGTCATGCATATTTTTTAGCATTACAAAATCATTTCTAATCCCACCTGAATCGTAAACACATTCCCCTCTCCTCCCATCTTTTCTATCCCACGTACCTGCAGTCTGGTATTCATTTCCAAAAAATAGAAATTTTTTTTTGAATCTACAAGGAATTCCACTGTTCCTGCTGATGAGTATTTTACAGCTCTGGCAAGAGCTACAGCCTGTTCTCCCATAGCTTTACGAGTTCTGGAATCCAAGAAGGTACTATGTATACAAAGAAAATGGGGGGAGGGAAGTGGGTGGGGGGAATAAATTCTGTAAAAATAAATTTGACTATTTTATGCCTTTTAGAAACTGAAATATAAAAGAAAAAAGGTAAAATAATAAGTATGCTTGCTTAACGTACATTCATAATTCTATAGACCAGGGTTCTCCAACTCCCAGACGGCAGCCTATTTGGAACCGGGCTGCGCATGCATGAAGCTTTCCTCAGGTGAGCTGTGGCTGTCCTGTGCTTGTGCACAAAGTGCCCCTCACACGAGTGGCGACCGCTTGCACTTGTGCACAAAGCTCCATTTGTGCGAGGAACAGGCGCACACACCTGCTGCTCACACAAATGGAGCTGCACATGCCTTTGCATGCCCGTCTGCCATTCTCAGGGAATAATCCCCTCTCCTCTCCCCTCGCTAGGCCACCAAGTCAGAAAGGTTGGGGAGCACTACTATAGACTATTTGCTGACTATACAGTATACATTCCCCCAAGGGACAGATGTTTCCTGTCACATACAAAAAAGCAAATATCCCCAGTGATTTTTTTTTCTTTTTTCAGAAATAAAGAAGGTGTGCTCATTTTAACAACTACAGGCAGAATTCTGGGAGAGGCTGGAAATGCAGCCAAGAAAATCATGAGGTTAGTTATGGAATTGTTTCCAGCAGCCTCTGAGTAAAATTTGATGTTTCCAAGGTGGACTAGTCCAGGAAAATTGAAGCAAAGAAACAAATGGTTGAAATAAAGAATTGAATCCTATATTCACATACCTGTATGCTATACAATCAAAATATGGCTTTATTTGAAATTATTTCAACTCTTTTCTTTTGATCTTTTAATTACTAGAAAGGCTGCACGTTGTTTATGCCTGTTACATGGCAGGCTTAGTAATAGGATTGATTATTTAAATAATATTTTAGTCCTTTAAAATGCAAACACTATAGTATTATTGCACCAGACAGACAAATCAATGAAACTTTCTTTCACAACTTTTACTAAATCACTACAATAAGTTTAGAAGAAAATATGAAGCACAGCTATAATTTGCATTCTAAGAATTTTAAAAATACTAGTGAATTAAAAAAACATTTCTATGTTTATGACTTAGTATATAAAAGCATGCAATATGTCCAGTTTGCAATGTTTTATGTAGACGTTTACAGTCTACTTGCTTTTCGTACTTACAAATAAGTAATTCATTATAGAATATTTCAGAGAAAAATCTGAAAAGAAATCCCAAAGCTTCAAACTGAATTACCATTTCAACTTTAGCCTATAACACTGTATCTGACATCCAATGACAGTAACAGCTTGCATTTTAAATTATTGTCTCAACTTTACTCCAAAACTGAAAGTTTTAATTTTCTATTTTTCTTACTTTGATTCATCTGTTTACACAGCATGGTTCTTCTTCATTCCATCCTGAGCACAGCTGTTCTTCTGCCTTAGAGTACAGTTGTGAAGCCCTCTTGGGATTCACTCTCAAGACTGCTCCCCAGCCTGCAAGTCTCCTCACTACAGGACACTAAATATATCATCTTCCAGAGGCCAAAGGCATATCAGCTCAGAAAAATATATACCCTGGCAATGTCTTTTCATTGTATTCTGATCATACTTCAAAACACTCGAAGTTTGTATTTACCTTTTCAAACGTTCCCATTTCTCTATCAAACCATGCCTAAGACACATGAAGTAGATCAGATATGTAGATTTTTTTTTCATTTAAAAAGTGCAATCTCATAATTTGTAGCTATTCTCATCTACCCCTATTCAATGCAAGGACCAACAAGTATGTTACTATGCTTCTTATATTACTGTGGTAAATCAAAGAAACATAATTATCTGAACAGCAAGAGAATCAAAGAATAAACTGTGCAACAGAAGGTATTTCCTGTGTTCAAAATGGTTTTAAAATCTGTGTTTATTAAGTTTCTATAAAGGAGCCAGGCAACATACAGGAATAAAGATAAATAAAGTCAGTGTGCCTGCTCATCAACTAAGAAAATAAAATACACTAGTGAAGGAAGGAAAAACAAAGAAGGGACATAGCAGTTGGATAAATAAAAGGAGTATTATTTCAAAAGGATCTGCAATATTCACAGCACTCTTGTTTTCCTAAAACATCACTCCTGCATATTCAACCTTTACCTCAAAGAAATAGAACAAATCATATCTTAGTGCAGCGTTCCCCAACCTTTATGGCTTGGCAGCCTGGCAGGAGGAAAGAGAAACCAGCCCGCTGCTCACACAAGCTGTGCACGCGCATGCACTGGCCAGCCGCTCGTGTGGCCCAGTTCCAAACAGATCACAGCCTAGTAGTGGGATGCAGCCTGGGGGTTGGAAACCCATCTTAATGAACAATGTACACGCAGAGAATGGATTTATGACAAATTCACCTCCTTCTTCATTAGTATGTGCAAGCCTACATCCAGAGAAACCTTTATGAGCATACACACAAGGGCAATTCTGTCATGCATCAGCAGTTATCTGAATCATGACTTCTTTCCATTTCTGAAAGAACTGCTTCTGGAAGGAAGCAATCTACAGCTGAGTGAAAGGAAACATGATAGTCTGGACCGAAGGAGAATATCGTGTATGAACTATGAAATGTATGTAAAAACCAGGAATTTCTCTGATTATTTTCTCTGAAATTTTATCTGACTATCGTGCCAGATTGCAGTTCAATGGGGAGCTTTAATAAGGCACTAAGGTTTTATTCATTTAAAAAGTGTTTAGGAAATACAGCATCTATAAAATACTATGGAAAAATCATATAAGGATGTAATTCTATTTTCTGAAATTATCTGCTACTATTTATTGTTAAAAGTACTCTAGCAATTGAAAAGCTAAAATATAACATTTTTATTCTCAAGGAATCAGAAGCAATAAAGAAATCTCTCATCAAAAGATTTTCAGGCAACAAAGCATTATCACCAAATAATATTGCAATCATTAAAATATAGCAGTTTACTAGTTTAAATTTTTTTTCAAGCTCATGAAAGGACTTCAGATTAGCAACCAGTTCAATGATCCTTAATTTCTATTAACATTAAGTTATACAATTCAGTTTTAGCACTTAATTAAATTTTCTTTATGCTCATAGAAGAGTACACAGCACTCACCTTGGTGCCTCTTCAATAACTTTCTGGTTTCTCCTCTGAATTGAACATTCTCTTTCATTCAGCCATAATGCATTGTCATGTTTGTCAGCCAATACCTAATAAGAACTCAGGGTTAATTTTTTTTTTAAAGTACATTCATTCTTTACCTCAAGTATCTACTAGTTTCAGTGAAAATATTTCATCAATGGTACTACAGAGCATTTATTTGAATTAATAATCTATTTGTTCTTGTTCTATTCAAGTAAGGAAAAGAATAAATATTACACTTTATATTCAGTTTAGTTTTTTTCTCCATGAAAGAAATACTGTAAAAAGAGGAAATATGCTAGAAGGTGGTTGAGGAGTTTGACCTTGAAAAAATCTGAATAGACTCCAGTATCTTGCTTAGTCAGGTTCACAGTGGTAGAACACTAGGCTTGGTCATGCAAAGAAGGGTGGGGAATAAATGATGAACAAACACTGCAGCATCATGATGAAATATGTGCCCCTTTTGTATATATGTGGTGATATCACACACAACTTTTGTTTACCATCCTGACTGATGAAAAGCCTGAAGAAATCTTTCAGACTCTTTTGGGCACTTACTAGATGATACACTACTCACAAGACTTACTGACCACATTATATATTTCTTCCTTATAAGAAGAAAACCACAAGCTCAGAGAACAAACCTCTACCTTCAACTTACTACACTGATTTAAAAGGCACTGTCCTATTACGGATTATTTATCTTTTTCCTACAGCAAAAATGGTTGCCTATCCTTTTCTTGTGATATTGGTGAAAAACTGATAACCAAGACAACCTCATCCAAAAGAAAAAGCTTTTAAAATTTGTACTTGAAAAGTACCTTACACACTACAGAATCAGCTCCTATTAAGGAAAACATTAATCAAAACCTTTTTAGGCATGCAGACACCTTCGTTTCTAGGTACGGTAGTTTGTAACATTACATCATTTGGACAAAAAGGAATAATAATGGGACTATTTTGCCAAAATAAATTATGTTAAACTGGTTTTCTTTAATCTCAACGTTCTATAATACAAAGTGTTAGATTAAGTTACTGAGTGGCTTTCAATTCAACAACCTTTCTTTATACACAAATATTCTCAGGTTAAAGTTCTTCATGTCCTTTAGCATGAAAAATCATTCCTACTAATTTAATAATAAAGGACAACACAAGGAAAAAAATAACTCATCAAAACCTGGATAACAACTCCACACTGAAAGTTGAAAGAGAAGAACACAAACCTGAATTTCTATGTGGCGAGGATTATCAATAAATTTTTCTATTAATAACCGATCGTCACCAAAACTTGAAGCAGCTTCTTGAGATGAAAACCTGAAACCTTCCCTTTATAATCAAGAAAAGAAATCCATTTAGAAATATGGACAATATATTATTTCTGCTTAATAAAAGACTAAGAATCCCTGCATGTAGAAATAGCTTTGGATTAAAAGGCCTCAACTGCTGAAAGTACAATAATGGGTACATTTTGATTTTATAAGCATAAATGCCATGATTCATAAGTATTACAAAAGAAAGCCAGTTATAGCATGTTAAATCTTACAAAAAAACACTGCAGGTGGTACCACCTACTCATCCTTAACTGATTTGAAAGAAAATAGGCAGTGTTCACCCTGTCACTACCTGAGCAAGAAATTACAAGGAAAATTGACAGGCTAAACTAAGAAGTCAGAAACATTCTGAAAAAGGCAACAGCAAATCACTTTACCAATAATGTTCAGATAAAATTATAATTAAGTCATCTGCATCCCGTGGCATCTGCAGGACAGAAGCATTAATACCAATAAGATGGCACACAGATTGTTACAATAGAAGCCCCCTCCTTTATGTATGTGTGTCGCTGTCATACAGCAGGTCATATTCAAAAGGGTATAGCTCTTGCATTCCAGCTCTGCATCCTGCAAATCTCCTGCAGACATCATCATCCGTTACCTCAATATATAAATGTCACATTGGAATACTCAAAACTGCAGACCTACATTTGTACAATAAAAAGAGTATTACCCTCTCATCACCTAGGAGTTTATATATATATTTATATTTATATTTGGGGGGCGGGGTTATGCTATTTATTTCTTAAGGTAGATTTTTACATTTTTATATGTGTTATTTTTACATTTGGGGTTTTTATTCTATTATTGTGTGTGAGACAGAGTGGCTTTTGGCGAGATGGACAGCTATACAATATGATTAATAAATAAAATCAATAAATAATAGTAATAATTTCTTAAAGTTGTATTCCAACTTTCTCCAAATCACTCTGAATAGCTCACAACAATGAAAGAAATTACAACAAAATCATTAGAAGATCAAAGTGCCCCATACCAGACGGAATGAAGCAAGGGATCTTACTCTCCCTCTGCTAAAGGCCTGGGTGAACAGCTGGTCTTTACCGCTGTTCTGAACAACAGCAATCAGTTCTCAGGGGAACCTTGTTCCAGAAGGCGAGCATTAGTACATAGAAGGTATGCTTCCAATGTTCTTTTAGATCAAGGGTCCCCAACCCCACAAACTGGTGCTGAGCTGCAGCCCATTTGGACCAGTCCATGGAAGTGGTGGACGAGCACGTATGCATACGGCTACATTTGTGAAAGTGGTGAGCACATGCATACAAAACCATCCCCTCTTCCCCTCTCTGCCATTTCTGCTGGTCCGCAGAATCGGAAAGGTTGGGGAATGCTGTTTTAGATGACACTAAAGGAATCCAGCGTGGATTCTGTAAGAACAAAGTGGCCAAAGAGATAATATGGGAGGCTGGGCCTATGATAGGTAGGGATTTGTTCATTTGTTAATAAAAATTTATTGGCTGCCCTTTACAATCATAAAATATAAAAACTGTATAGGATAAAAAACATAAATAGGTTAATACAAAAAGCCATGCGGCTCAATGAGGAGGGTGAGAGCAACGTGGTAGGAAGGTAGGATCTATTGTTAATCTATCAACCACCTCCATTCTGATGCTTCCTCTTTATAGATAACAGCTAGCACCTTGAATCACTCCTGGAAGCCAAATGGCAGCCACTGAAATTTCTGGAACATGAGGTATGTACATCATTGCTTGCACTGCTACATTCTAAACCCCTTGAAGCTTCTGGATGGTTTTCAAATTTAGGATATGTTGTAGACAATCCACAAGATAATTGGTCATGAGTAGCTGTCTGAACAGTCCCCGATCTAGGAAAGGGAGCTCCACATGAATTTGTGCAAATGCCTCCCTGACCAGAGCTGCCATACTGCAAGTCCAGAAAGATCCCCAGATTGTACACCATCCTTGAAGGGGGAAGTACTACTCCATCTAAAGTCAAGACCTACATGAAGGGACATTTTATCATGCATGGTGGATTTGGGGGGAAATGAAAAGATATTGGACACCAATGCATATGGTGATGCAGAGAATTTTAAAAATTAACATTTAGATGAAACTGAACTTTTCTTATTGGAACTTACAAACACTCAGCTAGAAAAGTCTCATAGACAATTGGTTTTAATATGATAATTGCAGGGAAGCTATTATATGCACAAAAATAGAAGTCTATAGAAACATCAATAAGAGAGAAAATTATGAAGATGGCTGAGATTGCAGAAATGGCTAAATTGATTTGTTTGATTAAGAAGAATACAACCACTTTTTAAAAAGACTGGAAACCCTTTAAAGACGTCTTGCTGAAAATAGATAAAAATAAACTACTAATTTGGGGATTTATTAATTAAAATATTTATGGGAACAAGGTAACTATAATATGCAATATGGAAGGGTATAGATGATAATTATTATGTTTGTAACTGCTGACGAGAAGTTACTTATTTAGAAATTTGTCTCTCTCCTTAATACAAAGTTATTTTTCACTTTTCCTTTACATATTTATAATCTTTTTATATTCCTTCTATGCTTCTGTAGTTCTTAAAATCTTTCTGAAATCTTCTTTGAATAAAATTTTTGAAAATATATTTTATTTTAAAAGTTCTATTCAATCACTTAAAAACCTCAATAATTAAAATCATAACTGCAGCAAATGAAGTATAATACACACATTTAATTTACCCAATACTCTATACCCATGCACATGAGGAATCTCTATTAAATGTATAGGACATATAAAATCTATTGCTAATTCCAAGATGTCTCTTTTTTTGTTCATAATATGTTATCCTGCTCTCCTCTCCCATGGTATATGATCCATGGAGGAAGGAAATTGTACAAATGCAAAAACCATTATAAACCTTAACAAAAAAGTTATTTGATAATAAAAAAGAAATAAACAATGACTAAGTTGCCTGAGAATTTCTACATTTTAGGGAAATGTTCATATTTAATATGTGTATAAATGAAAAATCTTTCAGATCAACATAAATGAGCATATCAAATTATTGGCCTATTGACCATAATTTACATTACTTTTTAAAAGTTTCTAATGTGCATTTTTTTCCTTGCCTTTTAAAGATAACTTCATAAATCACATTTCTAAACTATAAAATAAAATTAAAACTCCAATCAAAATCATTTAGGGCCATCAACTGGTAAGTCAACTCCAGGTTCAATTCCTTTCAACTGCAGAAATGAGTTTGTTGATGAATGATCCCCCTTTTCTTTCTCAGATGCATAATTTAACAATGTGTGTTTGAGGGTATGAATAAAGTTGATATGTACTAAATACTGATTGGATATCCCCTTAAAATATGCAGAATCCTGGTGTTGGCAAAATAACTGTTTTCTTGTTATTATTAATTTCAGATAATCAGCAATCATTAACAGCAGGGTTGTCAAACTCAAGGCCTGAGGGCTGGATCCAGCCCGTGGGGTGCTTAGACCTGGCCCACAGGGCCACCCTGGAAACAGCAAAGGACCAGCCTGCAGTGCCTCTGCCATGAAAAAGGAGCTTCGTTTTCGGCTGCCACAGCCTCCTGTAGCCCTCTGTCAGTGAAAACGGAGCTTGGCCTCCTGAGCTCTGTTTTCGCTGGTGACTACCACAGGTGCCCCTGACACAAGAAAAAGTCGAGCTGGGCACGCCCACCCTGACCATCCTCACTGAGCCCACCGAGCCAAATACAATCCTGATGCGGCCCTCAATGAAATCGAGTTTAACATCCCTGATTAAAGCCAAAAGCCAAAAACTTTTTGCAATAATATTACTGAAGATATTGAAGAGTGGTGAAATCAGCAACCAGGCTTGATAGGATTCTAAAGAAGAATATGTTAAACACCCTCCTCAGTTGACATGCAAACTGATATGAGGTTGTGAGGAAGCTATTTGTGGCTCCTCCCAACATACACTCACATACTTCCTAGCAGCCCCATCAACTCGAGTCCTCTCTCCAAAAGTGTAGTCAAATCCTGTTTTAGTTACTGAAAATATTTGAAATTCAGCAGTCATTTTCTATTGACAAAACTAATTGGACAGTTTTGGTGAATAAAGCAAATCGTGTAAACAATTAATCAGCTAATGTCATTATAGGATTTGTTTATTTACATATGCAACACCTTTCTATCACACTGCAATCAAAAATGACTCTCAACAGCTTACAAACTATAAATAGAAATAATTTACCACAAATAAAAGGAGGAGCACAACAAATATTAGCAACAAAAACTGTCAAAAAAAAAAGACTGAAAATAAAACAAAAAAAAGGATGGCATCATATACCTTATACAGTCAAGGGAAAGCTTTATGAAACCATTCCATTTTCAAATTCCCCCCCCCCCCCCCCAAAATTAGCAAGAAGGCAGCTAGCCTGATTTCAATCAAAGGGCTGTTCCATAGTATCAGTGCTGCCACACTGGCTGGGTGGACTGGACATTAATATTTTAACTACTATAAGTCCATGTATTTGCCATGCGCTAAATAAAATAAGCGCTGCCACAAAAAAGCTGTGCCATTTTGCTCCAGGCTCCCAAGCTTCTGGAAAATATGGGATTAATGTAACTAATTTATTAATAAAATTACAGAATAATAGTTGAATTATACGGAGAGAGAGAAAAAACATATATATGCATATATACAAAAGTCCTCTATAAGAAAGTGTTACGGTACACCAGGGCATTTTCCCCCCATGTTAACATGTTAGCTGTTCTGCAGGATCATTTCACCTTGCCCACAGTCATACTGATTGGGAAAATGAGACTTCTAGTTCATCATCCTTGGAATGGAGCACCACAGACCACAAACAGTGTTTTATCACTAAATGATGCGGCCGTTAAATGGGTTGCACCCAAGTTTATGATCTTTTTTGCTGCGGTTATTAAGCAAGTCTTGTGGTTGTTAAGTGAATCCGGCTTCCCCATTGACTTTACTTGCTGGAAACCCCGAGAACATCATAAATAGTAATCCCATGATTCCACAATGCTGTAACCGTTGTATATACATGCCAGCTGCCATGTGCCCAAATTTTGATCACATGATCACACAAATGATTGACTGGTCATAAGTAACTTTTCTCAGCACTGATATAATTTTGAAGAATCATTTAATGAATGGTCATCAGTCCAGGACTACCTGCAATAGACTGCCTAAATAAGAGCAAAAACTTGTCCATTTTCTGCTTAAGTGCTAGTTTATCATAGTTTATGAGAGCTTTTAAAAGAAATAATGGCATTGTTGGATTTGAAAAGAGATGTAGTCATCAAAACTGATTTCTGGACAGCATCTCACCTGGCTTCTTCATCATTCCATGCCACTCTCATGCCTTTTCCACCACCACCTGCCGAAGCCTTGATCATCACAGGGTAGCCTAGCAGCAGGGAACAATTAAGACAGAAATTTAAATTTTGATCATACATTTATGACAACTGACCACATGTTCAATGACAAGGTCAATAACAAGCTTATTAAAAAGCTTTCTGCTGGGAAGAGGAATTTAAGCTGCGTTATCTGTACAGTGCAGTTGTTTTAATGACAGCAATCTCCTGAATTTAAGTTTATCAGATTGAATTAGCAACAACCAATAAAACACAGCATTTTAATAAATATCTAAAGCACTGTCTTTTCATCAAAAGATCCGCAAATAAGCAAAACCATTTTTTTAAAGAAATTGGAATTTCAAATTAACATGACATGAAGACCTACAGAAGAAAAAGGTATGTTAAATTAATGACACTGTTTCATTAGTCCAATCCAAGCACCAAGATGTTAAATATGAAGCAGTCAGACCATTCTGAGAAGGGTTATCCACATTTTAAACAAAACTATGGAAAATAACCACTATTCGGGTAATAGAAAGATCAATAAATAAGTCTTCAGTTTTAGAATAAACTTTGTATACATATAGTCCTCAAGTCACAACAATTCATTTAACAAATTTATTGAGAGTTGCAATGACACCGAAGGAAATGACTTACAACTTGTACTCGGTCTCATGACCATCACAGAATCCCCATGGTCACATGATCAAAAGCCAGGCACTTGGCAGCCAGCATGTATTTACAATGGCTGAAGCACCCTGAGATCACGTGATCACCATTTCTACCCTTCCCAGCCAGCTTCCAACAAGAAAAGTCAATGGAGGAAACCAGATTTGTTTAATGATCACGAGTCACCTAACAACTGCAGTAATACAACTGTGGCAGGAAAGGTCATAAAATCAGATGTGACTTATTTAATAATTGATTTGCATAGCAATGAAAATTCTGGTCCAAATTGTGTTGTTAAGTCAAGGACTACCTGTACTGTATTTCATTCAGCTACCATTCTTCTATTTACTTACATTGGTGATTGCTACCACATAAAGAATGACTTTCAAGATTTGATACCATCTGATCTTACTTTATTAAATATAATTTTTCGGAATTTGTGTTTTTAAAAGGAGTTGAAAGAAAAAGAGTTGGCAAGCACTTCACCTCACAAGGAATATTATGTATTAAAGAAGATAATTAGTTCTATGAAACAGAATGATAAGATTATAGCCAATATATACTATGATATTGTTATATATGATGGAAACTCTCAGGGTTTTTCATTTTTACCTGTATTCATTATCATTGCTGAAGCATTATTAGATGAAGAGTTAAGAAATGTCTATCTTTTTTTTGGCTAATGTTATTTCAACTAATTAAATTGTTGGCACAAAGTTAGACACAATTTAAAATTTGACAGCAGTACGTAATTTTGAATACAGATTTTATGTGATTTGGTTATTAAGCTTCACATTTTTATCTTGCGCTATGTCAACTGAATTTTCATGGCAAAAAAGATTCTTACATATACATTGCTGTATAGAAATTTTGTGCCATTCCTACATAGAAACTTGCTTTTGTATCATCTGAGGATTTTAGCATGAATTGCTTATTTTTATGAGGCTTAGATCTAGAATTTAACTTGGACATTCCAAATTATACTGGGGGTTCTTTCTGACTACCTAGTGGCAACTCTGAAAGCATAGAAATTGTTTGCGAAAGAACTGGTGCTGACGCTAAGGATCCTGACTCCGGGACAATTTCATGAAGTACTATAGAAAATATTTACTATTATTTAAAACCTTTCTCTCTACCAAGACCGGGAGACATCTCTGACATCAATGGAGCCCTAGAAATGTAAGAAATCTCTACAGACTGTATTAATCAATCAAGAATCAATGAATAACTATCAGAATGGGATATGGTGTGTTCTCTACAATCTTTGGAGCACTTCAACATTTGTCATATGTGTATTGGGTAGAAAATTGAATTGAGTGAACTACAGATTAATCACTATTTTGCATGGGCACACTTCATGCTATATGATTATTTTTAGGAAATGAAAAAGCACCAAACTTTGGTGTTACTTCTTTACTCAGTCCTTTACATATCAATACAAATTGCATGAAGCTCTGATCATTGCCAATATTATAATAACATTTCCCCCCCCCCCTAGAATATCTCATTTAAATAAAACTAGAACTGGTGAAAGGATGCCTGCACTTTTCCTATTCCAAAAAAAGATATTAGGAAGATGGTCTTAATTTCTAAATCAAGGGTCCCCAACCCCCGGGCCATGTCCCAGTACTGGGCCACATCCCATTCAGAACTAGGCTGTGGAAGCAGCAGGCAAGCACATGTGCAGTTCGATTTGCACGAACAGCGGGCATGCATGCCTACTGCTTCTGCAAATGGACGTGCATGAGCGCGCTCCCCGGCTGCTCATGCGGAGCCATCCCCTCTCCCCATCCCACCAATTCGCAAAGCCAAAAAGGTTGGGGAATACTGTTCTACATAATTTGATTTGCTGAATAGACCTAGAGATGGAACCAATATCCTTGATTGGACAAAGCACCAATTAATCTCCCCACAGAATCTGGCTTTCATTTATGCCCTATTTTGGAAAACTGAAAAAAATACACAGGAAACAGGAGAAGAACAAAGAGAACCTACCTAAAAATATCAAAGCAAAAGGTCCAGCTCATGCAAGGGGATAAGAAATAATAACTGGGCTGATTATATTATTTTATTTGAAATTCTGTACACAATTGTGGTTGTAGCCTTTCCTTTCTCCTATTTCCATTTCCCTCAAAACTGCTTTTTGTACCTAGAAATTTAGCTTTGTTTCGGAAGAAAAATTCTCATTAAAACATTCCTCATGTGCAAGGTCACAAAGTTAGTCAACTATGTCTTACGTTTCAAAACAACCATAAGACTTATTAAGTTCTGCATTTCTTAGTTTAGGGAAGGGGGATAGGGATAGGGATAGGGATAGGGATAGGGATAGGGATAGAATTAGAATTAGAATTAGAATTAGAATTAGAATTAGAATTAGAA